ATGGAGCCGTGGCAATTAAAGTGGTGTCAAACCGGATTATTTGTGCTGTGCGGATGCATCCCGCATTTCCGCTTTAGCCTGGCCTCCCTTGCAAGGTTGTTGTGCAAGTCAAACCAAGAGGGATGGGAGACGAAAAATCGTGCTACAGTTGTAGATATAATCTAGAGAGAACATGGGATTCATTGCGTGTTTGTGTGGGTTTTGTCGATTCAGAGAGCCTCCTGTTTTCCCTTGGCGTCTGTTTCTTCGTACTTGGAAAAGGTGAACCTCACAGTGATGTATAGTTCTGCTCCTTTTTTAAATTTTATTATTTTTGCAAGCTGCAAAAAGAAATGTAGTTGGATGTCGCATGTGACAACCCTAAGCTCTGTGTCACCTTTCGGGGTGTGTGAAGGTTGTGTCATACTTTGTTTACGATGCCTCCTGGTTCTCACAGCTCTCTGCTGTTTCCAAAGCACCAGCGTTTTCGGGTTTTTAAACAGCACCTGGAGAAGTTACTTTCGGGGGATTGCAACTCCCAGAATCCTGGGGCCAGCATGGCCGTGCCAGCAGTTGGAGTCCAAGGTGCATCCACACTGTAGAAATAATGCAGTTTGGCACTGCTTGAACAGCCGTGACTTCAGAATCCTAGGATTTGTAGTTTTATGACGCATCAGTAGTTTTATGAAGCTTTGGCGGTGAAGGCGAAAGGCCTTGTAAAACTATAAATCCCAGGATTCCATCGGATGAAGCTCCAGCACGTATAGTGATGTCAAGCTGCATTATTTCTGCAGTGCAGATGCAGCCATAGTCTTGAATCCGATCTGCATTTAGTTTGGAGAGAGCCAGCGTGGTATAGTGGCTTGAGCGTTGGACTAGGACTCTGGGGACCAGGGTTCGAAACCTGGCTCGGCCACAGAAACCCACTGGGTGACCTTGGCCAAGTCACACTCTCTCAGCCTCAGAGGATGTCAATGGCAAACCCCCTCTGAAGAAACTTGAGAAGAAAACCCCATGATGAGGTTGCCTTAGAGTCGCCATAAGTCGGAAATGACTCGAAGGCACGTAACAACAACAAGTATCACTGCAGATCAGACTTGAAGACTATGGCTGCATCTGCACTGCAAAAATAATGCACTTCGACACCACTTTAACGGCCATGGCTCCAACCTATGGAATCCTGGGATTTATAGTTTTACAAGGCCTTTTTGTTTTCCCCGCCAAAGCATCCTGATGCCTCATAAAACTACAAATTCTAGGATTCTGTTGTTGGCATTGCCCCGGGACTACACAGTGAACCACACTACAAATCCCAGAGGGTTTCCCAGATTTGAAGGTTGCAAGCTAGTGCCATTTTCCTTCTGGGTAAACCGAGATAGGGTTGCTCTGTTAGAAACGTCCAAGCGGCCACCCCATTTTATTTGTTGGCGTGTGTCCTAAATCCTTTTGTTTTCATTTAAAACTGGAGCAAGAGGGTGCCACTGGGTGCGAATTCCCCACATCAAAGGCTGGGAAAGCCTTTTAAGTCCTGGATGAATGACGACTGAGGTCTGGACGGCGCATGGTTTGCATAGTTTGGCATAATAGAATAATGACTACTTACGTAACTGGCAAGAAGATAGGCTGCTAATACTCAAATGCTTCTCATATTTGGGTTTTTCTTGTCTTCTTTTTCGCCAGGCTTGTAAATAGCAACTGGCCTAGTCACCTGTGGAGTGCAAAAATCTCCTGCAGGTGATTAGAAAGAAAGAGAGAAAAAGGAAGGAAGCTTTGGAAAACAGGAGGAACACTTATTATTATTATTATCATTATTATTATTATTATCATCATTATTTGGTTGGGGGGAGGGTTGGGATAGGGGATTCTCCTTTTAACCTTGATTGTAATTTTAACCTGTATGCTTTATATACCTTTGATTCCCATTGGGAAAAAGCAGAATAGAAATAAATTATTATTATTATTATTATTATTATTATTATTATTATTATTATTTATGGGAGAGGGTTGGGATAGGGGATTTTCCTTTTAACCGTGACTGTAATTTTAACCTGTTTGTTTTATATACCT